GGCATAGATAACCACTTTGCCACATCAGCCCTTTTTTATATTTTATTTAGAAACAAGGTCTTGCTAAGTTGCTCAGGGCCTCACAAAGTTGCTGAGGTTGGCTTTTGAACTTGCCATGCTCCTGCCTCAGCCTTTCTAGTTGCTGGAGTTACATGTGTGCTCCAAAGTGCCAGGCCCAAGGTGGACGTTTATTGATAATGAAGATAAGCTATCTGAGCTTAAATCAGGAAGGACACCACAAAAGAAAAACTCAGTGAATCTGGAGACATACCAATAGAAATTATCCAAATTGAAGCATAAAAAAAAAAATCTGACAAAAAATCTTAATTGAATCCTCATGGCACATGAAAAAATATCCAGCAAATTAATATATGTGTAATTGAAACTTACTTTGACATTTTTGTGTGAAGACCAGCACAGAGGGACAAAGATAAGAACAATGTCAGACTTTTGATCAGAATATTTGCAATCCAGAAGAGAGTGAATAACATCAATACAGGGCTGAAAGATGGAAAACTATCCAAAAAGAATTCTATATTAAGTGAAAATAACCCTTAAAAATGAAAGTAAAAATATTTTTCCAGGCAAAAAAAATATGCTGAGAGAATTTGTAGTTGTCAAATCTCCACTACAAAAAATGTTAAAAGTACGTCTTTGACCAGAAGGAAGTGATACCAGAAGAAACTTCTACAGTTAGTAATATAGAGCTGTAGAAATGGTAAATGTGTGGGCAAATTTAGAAGACTATTTTCCCATTTTTAATTTCCTTATAACTGATTGGCTGAAGTAAAAATTAGGGGCTGGGGATATAGCTCAGTAGGTAGAGTGCTTGCCTTGCATGCATAAGGCCCTGGGTTCAATCCGTAGCTCTACACACAAAAAAGGTAAAAATTATATCAAACTATTGTTCAGTTTATAACATATGTTGAAATGGAAAGAAATCTCATAATTATATCATAACATGATTTGTCATATTATGACAGTATTTAAAGGTAGACAGTGAAAATGTAAATGTACATATCATAGACTCTATACCAAAATATGTGGAGCATGTTAGAGACAAACATCATGGTAGTTCTAAACTCAACTATATGAGTATAATTATATTAAAGATAAATAGTCTAAATACTCCAATTAAAAGGCAGTCAAAATAGATTTTTTTAAAGAGCCAACCAAAAATAAAATGACCAGTACATGGATTTTAAAGATAAAAATACAGTCTCTTTGTAAAAGAGAAAGAAAGATAATACCATGCAAACACTATTCATAAAATAAATGCAGTAGTCATATTAATATCAAAGTAGCTTCAGGACAAAAAAGATTGCCAGGAGCAAAAAGAATATTTCCTCATAATAATAAGCCAAGTGACTAGAGGATATAGCAATCCTAAATGTGCAAGCACTTAATTATGTTATAGAGCTTTTAAATATACAAAGAAGGACTAATAGAACTGCATAAATAAATAGGCCAATTCCCAATTGCAGTTGGAAATTTCAAAATTCCTTTCTTTATAATCATTTGAACAAGTAGACAGAAAATTAGGAAGGATATAGAATTCTTGGACAACAAAAGAATTCAACTTTACTAAATTAAAATTTTATAGAATAGCTGTCCAATAGGCAAACATACATTTGTTTCAAGTTTGCATGAAAGAGCCATAAATTGAGCAATAAAATTTCAATTAATAACAAAGTAGTGAAATCATAAACAATAACAGAAATATATTCATAGTCATGCATAGCTCCAGCAGCTGAAAGTTAAACCTTTATGAGCTTCAAGCGTCAAAGGACAGAGCTAGAGGCCAGAAGAGTAACTAGAAATTAAGATTAATCCCTAAAAGCAAGGAAATCACAAAGACTGAGTTAAAACTCTGCCCAAGCCATGAAATGACTGCAAAATTATCCATGCAGAGGAAATAATTTGGACAGGACAAGCTAAAAAAGGAACAATCATGGAAGTCCTTAAGAATGGAACAGAATGGTACCCCATTAATATGTACAATTTTTATGTTTTTAACTATTGGTTAAAAACAAATAAGACCTCTTATTTAAAAAATAAAAGAATAGAACAGAGATATCAGTCATTGTATACTGTGGGTAAGACCAAATTTGCAGATTGAAAGCAGGCAAAACCAAAACAAAACAAATGAAATAAAAAATCCCAATATCTATTTATGATTTTTAAAATTTTCTGTAAAATAAGAAGGGAATTTTCTCAACCTGATGAAGTATACATATGAAAAATCTATAGCTAATATATGAATTCCTTTCCTCTAAGATGAGAAATAGGGTAAGAATATCAACTATTATCACAAAACATTGTCAAAAGAAAATAAAGAAAACCTACATTAAAAGACGTGATAAGTGTATGGATTGAAAGATTCAATATTTTTAAGATGTCAGTCAGCACTTTGTGTGTACATCTAAAACTGAACATATAAATCAATTAAATAGCTCTTAGACCAAAAAAAAAAATAGATCTACACTAATAAGGTCAATTTGGTGTTTTGTTTGTTTGTTTGTTTAACAGTCACAAGATAATTCACTAAGAAACCCTGAGTCTTTTCAGTACAGGTGCTGAAACAATTAGACATACACACAAAAAACAACATGAACGTGAATTCACTACAAACCATATACAAAAATTAACCGAAATAGCTCATAAGCCTAAATATAACAGCTAAAGCTATAATTTTTTGAGAATAGAAACAGACAAAATAAATATGGTCTATGGATCATCTGTGTCCTACAGTCTATTTTGGCACAGCACAATGTCTAAGGATATTTTTTAACATATTTAAAGGATAGAGGAAAATATGCAATAGAAACCATAACCCTCACAGCCTAAAATATTTGCCATCTGGCCTTTACAGAAAAGTTTTTCTAATACCACTTCACTCTTTCTACTTTCTGGCTGCCAAGAGCTGAACAGTTTTCCTCCACCACACCCTTTCACCATGATGTTCTGCTTCATCTTTGTTCCAGAGCAATGAGTTGGTCAACCATGTTCTAAAACCTCTGAAACAATGAGCCCCAAACAAACTCCTCTTTTAAGCTGTTCTTGTCAGGTATTTGCTTACTCCAACAAAATGCTAACACAGATATTATTTAGGATATGAAAAATAAATGTATGACAATCAAATTTTTGTGGATAAAATTTTTAAAAGATTGGCAATTCCAAGTGCTGGGGAAGATATGGACAATTGCAAACTCTTGTCTATTGCTGTGAATGCAAACTGGTTTAACTTTGGAAAAGAGTTTGGTCTCCTGCAACCAGAGTTGGAGAGAACTGACTAGAAAAAGAGCATGAGAGAACATTTTTGAGTTATAGAAATATTGTATACTTTTATTATTGTGACAGTTACTCAGGCATACATATGTGAAAATTCAATGAATTGTTATAAAATGGGCACACCTTCTTGTATAAAAGTTATATGTACCTCAATAACTTTTTCAAATTAAATGCATATGAGCTATTGAAAGTCAAGTAATATGAGTGAAATAAAGACAAAACTTGAGGCTTACTTTCAAAAGCAATGTAGGAAATTCTCAAAAGACATTCCATTGGCTAAGATTAAATGAAGAGACTGCCAGAAATAGAGGAGACACTGTTGATTTTTTACCTAATAGCTATTATGCCCTTCTTTCTTTCTGGGTAGCCATTTTGTAACTCTGAGTGAAAACAGACCAAGCCCAAAGTTGTCATAGTAACAATATCATAGTGAAAAAATGAAAAGAACCTAGGTCCTTGAATTATATTACTGAGCCAACTAAAATGCCCTACCAAGGATATGCTCACTCTGAATTTCTTCTAATGAGATAAATATATTTCTTCATTGTTGTTTTCTATTACATAAAGTTTTCTGTTACTTGATGAACTGAAGGCATCATGACCAATAATTACACTACTAACTGAAGTCTTGGGAAGGAACTCACTATGGAATACTGGGTATCTCAGTGGCTAGAAGTTTCCATAAAAAAATTAAAGTTAAAAGTGGAAGGTAAACTACTATAAGGCACCAGAGTCATCTAAGCTTAAATAGGCTCCATTTCAGAAAAACCTAACATAAATGAAAAGAATTGTGTGCATGTATGAATATGTAACAACAAATCCCATCATTAAGTACAACTATTAAGCACCTATAAAAAATGGGGGAGAAAGAAGACATATGAAAGTAATTTCTTAATTTAAAAATGTTATATTTAACTTTACAAAGTATTTAAATGAACTTATTTATTAACTTGATTTTTGCAGAGATATATAAACTCTTAATTCTAATTATAAATAATATAGTCACAAGTCATATGATGACATTTTGGTCAATATCATACTGCCCATGTGATAGCATTCCAATAAAATTATAATGAATCTATTGTTAGTGACATCATAGCCATCAGAATGTCATAGCAAAATGCATTAATCACTGCCAGCCTTATTGAAGTATAGCACATACAATGGGGTACAGTACATAATACATGATTATAATGATAAATGACTATGTTCCTGGTTTTTATATATGCTATTCCTACTTTTTATTGTTATCTTATTCTCCTATTTATTTTTAAAAAGCTTAGTGTATGCCAGCAGCAGCCTCAGACATTTTGTTTACCATGTGTCTTGATTGCATCATTTTCTCATGTTTGACTTAATCTCCCCCCATGTTGTTTTGTTCATCATGACACAAGGATCAATAGGCTAGACCATATATATGCCATGGTGTGTAGCAAGTGATACTATATAGGTTTGTGCAAGTAACTTTCTTCATATAACAATGAAATTGAGGTGATTTCTCAGAACATATTCCTGTCATTAAATGATGTATAATTATATAAACAATATGGACCTCCTCTAGCACTTATGAAAATTTAGTTATGCTAAATAATGTTAATCCCCACCATTTTTCAGATTCTCCCTGAGGTACATATATAGTAACATTATTCTATCTACTTTCCAAGTGGAGAAATAAAGGAGGTTTTTTTTAAAAAAATCTAGTGACTCACCCTGGAGTATTTGATAGAAATGACCACTTGAAATTTGAAATAGAAGTAGAATCAGAATTCATTCAGAGACTGATCTTTGGTCCTTTTAACAAGATCACCAAACTTCATCTCTTTCTGGAAGAAAATAAATGACAACATGCAATACATTGAAAATCAAGGTTAGTTTATCTGCAACTGTGAAAAATACAGCAGGTTATTTGCTAACATATATCATCTCCAAAGAAAAGAAAATAAGACGAGATAAGCAGGAGGGCACTGTAGTTCTTCAGTTGTAGGTTGAGTATTAGACTCTGAACACTGAACAATACATTAAAAAAGAAGAACAAAGAAAAACGCCTGAACAATACATCAAAAAAGAAAAAGAAAAATATTCCAAGCAACAGGCTAAGTAAGTATCTGAGACAAGGAAGAGTTACAATTCATAATTAAATAATTACATTTGACTTATTTATGTGGGACCTAAGGCAAACTAATTTCATTTGCAGAAATGGATAAAAATGACATAGAGAACCATTACAGGCTTATTTAGAAGGGAACAAAGGAAACACAATGAAAAGCAATGTTTTATCAAAAGAAAATCAAAAGCAAAGAATTCAAATGCTTAAATTCTTTATGGTAAGAATAGGACAGAGAAATTTAGAGTTCTAACCAACAAGAGAGCACATGTAAATCCTCTAACCTCTCTGATGTTCTAAATGTAATTCCAAAAATGAAACAGATGGGCTGGGGGTTTGGCTCAGTGGTAGGGCACTTGCCAGTATTTGAAGTCCCTAAGTTTGATCCCTAGCACTACAAAAAGGAAACATACAAATCCAAGACCCACACATGCCTATGGAATACATCTTTCTAACATGTTTATGCAACAGCAGGAGCTCATTCAAATGACTGAAACAGATCAAAATAAAATATATATTTCTAATTAAAAGTTTAGTTTGCAGTTCTAGGGATCTAACTGAGGCCCTCACACACGCCAGGCAAGTGTTTTACCACTGAACTACATCCATAACCTAAAAAGTTATTTTATATGTTAGCAAAATATCCTAGGATACTAACTATATTTAATCAACATGTATTTCTTTACTATATGCTACTCTGAGTCAATACTTTTTCTGTTATTTCAATCTACTCCTTAAACTCGGTTTCCTCATTTACAAAAGCTTCCAGAACTCAGATCTTTGCTCTATCCTGGATGACAACTAGTGAGCCTGAGAAAGTAATTCATTTTACAATTTTCTGGTAGCACTAGGATACCATGTTTATTCCTCACCTCCTCTTTGTTCCCCATATAGAAATCTCATTTCAATAGATGCTTCTCGGTACAAACCACTTTGACAAAGCTTGTAAACCAGAGAAAGTACATTTAATATCCAACCATCAATGTCATGAATAATATAATCTTAGATGAGCATTTGTTTTCTCTAGCTATGAAAGTTGTGTAACAACCTAACATTATGAGAATTCAGTGAGAAAGTATATGTAAAAGTACTTCAAAAATGGTAATATATTATACAAAGATAGAGAGTCCCCCAAAGCCTGAAAGAGTATAGTAGTCCCCTTAGGGTTTCACTTTCCATGACTTCAATTATCTGCAGTCAACTACTGTCCAAAGTATCAACTAAAAATTCTGGAAATAAGTAATTCATAAGTTTTTAAATAACTTTTAATTCAGAGTATTTTTATCATTATTCTACTTTATTAGTGGTGATTGTCACTAATCACTTACTATACATGATTTATAAATTAAACTTCATTATATGTATTTTGTGTAGGACTAAACATATTGTGTGTGTGTGTGTGTGTGTGTGTATATATATATATATATATATACACACACACACACATGTATACACACACACACTCACACAGAGAGAAAGAAAGGGAGGGAGGGAGAGAGTGTTCAGTAGTGTCTATAGTTTCAGGCATCCATTGGGATCTTGGAACATGTGCCCCATAGATAAGGGGAACTACTGTAACTCCTGTTTGGGGTGAGAACTCAAAGCTCTGAATTATAACCAGTAGGGCAAAGAGGCTGAAGACACTACTCACATTATTCTACACATGAGGACACAAGGTAATTCATCAGGCCTAACAATTTCTGTCTAACACCACAGATTTTAAAAGAACATAGTCATATGAATACTACATGACTTTGTAGCTCTCTATCCTGTTTGTATTAAAAATAACATAAACCAAGTATATCTTGCAGAGAAGTTATTCAAATGTGTTTTCATATATCCAACTGCATGCATGAAAAATGCACTGGTCAATATGGGCCTGTGTATTTATTAAGACTGAAACCCTGGTGTTGCTATAGAATTACCATTATATCTTAAGTGGTATCTTAGGAATATCTTAGGAATATGTGCTAGAAATGACATAAAATGAGCTTCTACTCTTAGCTCAATACATTTTTCAGATTTCATTAGTTCTATTTGTGTGTGTGTCTGTGTGTGGGGGGGTGGGTGTTGTGTGGGTGTTTGTGTGTGGTGCTGGGGATTTCACTCATTTTTTAAAATTTTATTGAGTAAGTATAGTTTTGTCAATAAGTATTAGCCTTAAATTAAAGTTATGGATTCACAAAATTTGACTTTATTACTGATAAACACCCCTGTAATCATTACACTTCCTTTTTTCTATTTTGGTTTGTTTATTTTTGGTACTGGGAATTGAACTCAGGGATGCTTAACTACTGAGCAACATCTCCCACCCTTTTTATATTTTATTTAGAGACAGGATCTTGATGAGTTGCTTAGCGCCTCACTAGGTTGCTGAGGCTGGCTTTGAACTTGCACTCTTCCTGCCTCAGTTTCCCAGGCTGTTGGTATTACACGTGTGCACCACTGTGTACTTTACAGTCCTATTTTTTAAAAAAGTTTGTCAAGATAAAATATACGTACTTTAGAAATATTCATTGAGATATAGTACATGTACTATAAATGATACTATTCAGTTATTTTGATTATATTCATGGAGTTGTACATCATCATGACATTCTAATTTTAGAACATTTTCATCATCCCCCCCAAAAAAACTCCATGTCCATTAAATGCAGATGATCTCCATTGCCTCATAGCACCCCAGAACCCAACCCTAGGCAACTAACAATCTAATAACTATCAGTATAGCTTTGCTAATATGGCATTTCATATAAATGAAATCATATAATATGTGTCCCTTTTTTACTTCTTTTTTCACATAGCATATGTTTTCAAAGATTTTCCATGTTGTTTCTGTACCACCATTTAATTTCTGTTTTACTGCTCAATAACATTCCATTATAGGGCTTCATCACATTTTTAATCCATTTATCAGTTTACGGATATTTGGGGTTTTTCTACTTTCATTAGCAATGAACATCTGTGTGCACATTGTTGAGTGGTCATAAGTTTTCATTTGTATTAGGTGTGTATCTAGATAGGGAATTGTTGGGTCATATAATTTGATCTCAACTCTTTGAAGAACCACCAAACTGATTTCCAAAATGACTGAAACTTTTTACATTCCCACCACCAGTGTTATGAGGGATCTAATCCTTTCACATCCATTTCAACATTTGTTGTTCTTTTCCTTCTTAAATTGTGACCATCCTAGTGGGTGTAAAGTGATATCACATTGTGATTTTGATTTGCAATTGACTGCATTTTCTTGATGACTCCTGATGTTGAGCATCTTTTTTGTGGGGTGTTTTTTTGCCATTTGTTTATCTTCTTTAGAGAAATTTTCACTCAGTTACTGTGCCCATTTTTTAATTGGGATATATGTGTTGTATCATTTACTTATAAAGTGTTTTTATCTATTCTAAATACTAGACCACTTTCAGATATATGATTTACAAATATTTTCTCCCATTCTGGGAGTTGTCTTTTTACTCTCTTGATGGTTTTTTGTGTGTGTGTGTGTGAAAGTTTTTACTTTTGATGAAGTCTAATTTATCTATTTTTTGATTCTGTTGACTCTGCTTAAGTGTCATACCTAAGAAACCACTGCCTAACTCAATGTCACAGCACTCTCTTATTTCACCTAATTAATTTGCTTTTCAGAAATATCACAGCTTTGTTGATATAATTCACATACCATACAAATAACAATTTAAAATGTACAATTCATTGCTTTTTTTAGTCTATTCAGTTCTTTTCCTATTTTAAAATTGTGTGGGTTTTGTTGTTGTATTTTAAGTTTTCTTTGTATATCTGGATACTAGATCTTTATCAGTTTCATGGTTTATAAATGTCTTTTTCATTTCATTTGATATATGAAATATCTGTTTCCATTCTTTCACTTTAAAGTATGTGTCTTTAGAGCTAAACTAAGTTTCTTTTAGATGATACCTAATTGGATAAAGATTTATATAATTCTGTTAATCTCTGCCTTTTTCTTTTTTTCTTTACTCACCAACCTATCAATTTCCAGCACTAGAGATAAGGCTCAGGGCCTCATGTATGCTAGGTAAGGACTATATATGTTTTCATCCTTCTCCATTATTGTCTTTTAAGTGTGTGTTAATAGATATTTGTATTACATCATTTCGAATTCATTCTTATTTACTTTTGTGTACTTAGACATTCTCTAAATGGTTGCTATGGGGATTACAATTAACATCCTAAATTTATAACAATCTAGTTTGAATTGGTAACAATTTAGCTTCTATAACATAGAAAAACTTTGCTCCAATAGAATTTTGTCATATAACCTATTTGTACTAATAATTGTCAAAAAAAAATCCATCATTATATACCTGTACCAATTAATATAGATTATACTTAATATTCAATATATTTTATGTCACATAAGAAATCAAAGAGGTACCCTAAATCAAGATAAATATAATATTTAAAGCTTTTATATTTACCTGTGCAATTACCAGAATCCTTTATTCCTTTGTATAGATTAGAGTTCTAATCTAGTATCTTTCATCTGAAGCATTCCTTTCAGCATTCTTATAGGGAATGTCTACTAATTATGAAATCCCATAGTATTGCTTTTTTTTTTAACCTGGAACTGTCCTAAGTATTCATTCACTTTCTAAATATAGTATTTCCAGATGTCTTAATCAGCTTTGTCATAACTGTGACCAAAAGACCTGACAAAACAACTTAAAGGAAGAAAAGTTTATT